ATTTAGAGTCGTTAGAATATTCCTCGTCTTCTCCGGTTTCGCTAACATCGCCTTGAGATCCAACATCGTCGCCGTCAACAGAAGAATCATAATTAGACACCACATCCAGATCCATTTCCATCTCTTTGTCCAAATCAACTTTCCCTCCTCCCGAAACAAAAGCGGGAGCCTTCGTCCAATCACTTTTTTTCTGAATTCCTGTGCCCTTCGCCTTGAAATTATCATCCTCGCCGTCCCCTCCAAAAACTCCATACAGAGCATCCTCTTTTCCATTCTTTTTTCGCCGCTTGCGTTGGTATGGGTCATCAAATAGAGCACGTTCCTCTCGCGCGTCCAGATCGTTGTCAATGTCAACCTCAGATTGGGATGAATCCGAGGAATCGTCGTCAAATACACGCTTCCGACGGGCCATTGTAGTTGTTCAGAATATTACTTGTATGCGAACTGTTTCACATATGGTAATAGACTCGGAAGCAAACCGGCGTGTTGCAAAATTCGTCCACATGCCATCCATCAACTGGTGACACCAATTTGAATCCTCATTCAGGTCCAATCAACCTCTCGGCTCTCAAAAATGAGTATAACAATTATTTGAAAACTTCGGCAGTCTTTACACAACAATTGTATGGGAATCACTCACTCTAACATCAGCTTTCATTATCAGCCGCACTTGGTCCACGTCGACTACTTCAAACCTCTAACAGGCAAAATAGCCTGTTCCCATCTTCTTCGGCAGGCCTCAACAATAGTGTATCTCCATGTAGCAGCCTGCACCCACTGCGCAGACCGCCTGCCTTTGATGGAACTTCACCGAAGTTGCGGCTATCGCGGTCATTCATATTTTTGGACGAAAGTTCAGCACACTTATTGTCTCCACGAGCTGTGTTGGATTGATCGCGCCCTTCCGGGTCCCAATTGTATTCACGCCTACATAAGTACCTGCGAAACCTGACTTGAACGCATATCCTCTTCTTTCAATGGCCTGTGGACGACGTGTCCTGGCTGGCGTATACGCCCTCTTTGCAAGTATTCAGCTTGTCACTTCAGCACTTCCAAATTCTTTCCCTCATTCGTACCCAAACCAACCAACTGGAGACTTCAGCCCGGCATGGCAGAATTGTCAGTACTATTCTTGACACCAACCTTACTTATGTAAACAGCATTTGACTCTCATGCAGATTTCGTAGTTAAGGACAAGTTACCTAATGTAACATTTCCACTCCCGCGTACTTTCGCAGGCAACATTCCTGTCCAGCGCGCCGGCCATCCCAATGATACCCTCTTTTTTGTCGGTTTTGAAAAAGCAAACGGCTCACTCACGAAGCCGGCTAGCTCTCGTGACAATGAACCATGGGGTATATGGTTGAACGGAGGGTAAGTTGATATCTTTATTTTTTTTCTGACGTTTCGCCCATATTCCCTGGACTGTTTAGTCCCGGATCATCGAGTCTGTACGGGTTGTTCTTCGAGGTTTGCACCCACCTCCCTGAAATGAATATTCGGGATTTTCAACATTATCAACGGTGTTCAGAATGGCCCTATGCGAATTGGAGACGATTATAGGCTATCACCTAACCCTCACAGCTGGGACAAACTCGCCGATTATTTCTGGATTGACCAACCGGTGTAATTACCTTTGCGTCCTACACAGTTCAATTTGACCTATCTTCAATTTTTCAGAGGCGTTGGGTATTCCACGGCTGATGCCGATGGATATGGTTAGTTTCCTTTCTCTACTTTGTTTCAACCATCTAATTTCTGGACCTAGTCGCTAACGAAGATCAAATGGGAGCTGATTTTGTAGGTCCAGGAATCTGCAGATCCACCATGTTTTATCTTAGTTATTTATAACCTATAGATGGGATTTTTGGCAAATCTCGTCAAAGTATTCCCTTCTTTGGCTACTCGGCCCCTTCATCTCACAGGCGAAAGCTACGCTGGTGTTTACATAGTAAGATTGTTTACACCTCGTTCCATATGACCTTTCCTCTCATTTAAATTTTAAGCCCTATATTATGAAGGCATATTTTGGAATGAAGAATCCCCCTGTTAAAATCGCTAAGTTCGCTATTGGAGATGGTTCGATCACCGACGGAGTGGTTTTTCAGTTCGTCCCCGCTGTAAATCCAATTTCTATCGCACTTAAGATACACCCACTTATCACCTTGCCCAGCTTTCTGTTATCGAGACGTATCCCCAACTTATCGGATATGACCCAGAAGTATATAATTATTTCCGAGAACAGTAAGTAAACAAATTCCGCTTCTGTTCTAGGTGTCATTAACCACTCGAACTTTAAGGAGTCAATTGTGTGGCTTTGACATCAAATTAACATATCCCCAGAACGGAAAAATACCACCTGTCCCACTTGTCTCCCCCACTTCACGTGATATTTCATTCCTTCTGCAAAACGGCCTTACTCGACAAAATTTCATGTCACAGCTCAAATATCGATACACAACCCAACGCCGGACAATCGCCAAACGAGCCCGTGAGGAGAATCAGCGCGAATGGAAACGGGGGTTGAGTAAAAGAGAAAATGGCACCATCGACCCATGGGTGTGTTTTCACTCTCTATATTTTAACACATCTAAAGCTAAATACAGTACGGGTGTTTCCTTCTCGACCACTTCATTGATTATGCCCAAAATTTTACATTCCCTTGGAGTAAGCTTCTTGAAATTTCGGTGCCTACATCGTATTAACTTTTAACAGACTTGACGGAACCGAAGGACACCTTTTCATTCAATGTATGTAAACACTTTGCTTTGGTGATAAATTAAACCTGAACCTGTTAAAAGGTTTATGATGTTTCCGATGCGACTAGTCCTCCCGTCAACACGGACGCCAGTGTATTTCTTAACGGTATTCGTACTTATCACAGTAGTTATTTCAACTTCTAACCTCAATGTGGCCAGACAACCGCACTAGGACTGCAATTCATGCCCCAACGAGCAAGGATTGGGCCCAGAGCTTCCAGTTCGTGTTCGGTGATAACGGTTGTTAGTAATATCATACTTTTGCTCAAACATATACTAATCACGGTCTGATTGCACAGTCGCCGATATAAGTGAGTGAATTTCTTTCCTCCGCGGCGTATGCGCATACTAATAGCAACCCTAATATTTCAAGGTCCACCGTGCGTACTCTTTCGTCACCCTAAGATCTGAGTTTGGCTAATTTATAAGTAGATCTATGGACTTCATGACTGAGCTCGCTACAAATGCAACAGCTCGTGGCGTTGACATCATTTTATATTCTGGAAACGACGACGCTCTGATTGCACACAGGAGCACAGAAAGTTCGTACCTGCACCTACCTGTGCCCTGAATGTAAATTGACCTTTTTGTTTCATGAAGTTGCAATCCAAGTACGCCTAGTATTGTTCCCCGTTTTCTTGCCCTCATCGAGTTCTATAGAACACAACTTTCGGCGGAATCCAAGGGTTTACTGTTAAGCCGTCAACCCCCTGGTTTAGTGGGGGCAAATTCGCGGGTATAATTCGTCAGGAGAGAGGCTGGACATACGTTCTTTTTGACCACGCAAGCCACATGGTTCCCACATCCCAGCCAGCCGCAGTGCGTTCCCCTGTAATGTTATATTTTTATTATGGCTAACCGGTGGTTTAGGCCTTCACATTCCTCCGAGAGTTTGTACTTGGAAATAACAAGCAAGGCCTAGTTACAAAAATAGCTGGGAAGACTCTCGTTATCGGTGGAGAAAATACCGCTCTAGCAGCGGACACATTACCTGGTTCTGACGGTATTCGATATGGTCCTGGATCTGACCCATCAACTTACGTTGCGCCTGCTGCTACACGGGCTGCATGGCAATCCTTCATACGAACGGCAACCGCAAGTCCAACGCCAATACCGACAAGACGCACGCGATCATGAGGTGTTTTTTTTAAGAACTCAATACGAACTATTTTGACGAGCACCATGCCCCTTGACGTATTATTGAACACTAGATGTGTTCTGTATTTTTATGTAATTTTATTTCGGGATGTACGGTTATTACAAATTTTACTAATGCAACCAATGTAACATTGAGATTTCTTTCTTTTGTTGCAAGACACGATTAAACGTTTCAATCAACGTAACTCACCGGACAACCGGTCACTTTTTGACTATTTTCGGCACTACACACTCAAAACATCATCAATATATCTTGTTAGGGTCTCATAAGTTGTCCGAATATCTCCTTTACTAACGTGAAGTAGTATTACAAAAAAAAAATTGATGTATTGTTTAAGATATGGCATTTTTTACATGGGCTTCAAGTATTTCTTAAAACTTTAGTCACCGGTCAACTGGTCACCCCAAATTTTAATTATTCCAATGGGCTAACTTCACTTCCAACATATGTACATAACATGTTGGGTCATTTGGGTCATGTATAGTCCAATAATACTCCTCTGATGGGTGGGATAAAGGTCAATGGGGGGGTGGAAGTGAGTGACCGGGATCACACCCCCCAATACCCAGCCAAAAATCATTTTTGCTTTAACCCAACACACAGGCCACGGATTGATACAAAACTTTGAACCCATGATCTAATACACTAAATAGTACTAT